TCAAGAGACTCGTTTTGTCCAAGTAGAAGTTGGTTTCGACATCTTTGTTGGAGTTTCAACCTTGTTTTGCTCATCTTCTCTTCTAAGCTTGAGGTAGGGATTTTCTACACTCTCATATGATTTTTAGCTTAGTTATTTGTTATTGTGTATAAATAATGGGATTTGGTTGTAGTTTGGACAAATCTAAAATTTGGGTATGAAATGAAAAGAAGGGTTTTTGATAAATATGGAATAAATGGCCATGGGGTTTGAATATAAGGTCATTTTGTACTAAAATGGTTGATTTTGGTATTTGGGTTGATATTTAGAAGAAGGGGGATTTTGTCCTAATTTGATTAAATCATTATTTTGTATAAATAATTGGAATTGACATTGAAAATGTGAAATTGGATGATCATTGATACAGATGGTGGAATTAGATATGAATTATCTCACACCATTAGTAGTTTTGAATAAACTATTTATCTTGAGATTGAATATCTGTTTAGAAATAATTGTATTGGGTTGTTGGTGGAGGATAGTTATGATTGTTATAGAAATTGCATGAGAATTAGGTGATTCGAAACTAATCCATTGTTGGTTGTCATCGAATATGATTATGTCTTTATATACAATGTATATGTATACTTGTTTGGGAGGAGATGGGAGATATACTCCATATATGATTATGCCTTTATATACATTGTATATGTATACTTGTTTGGGAGGAGATAGGGGATGTACTCCATGTTTGGGAGGAGATAAAGGATGGACTCCATTGAAATTAAGTTGGCCGGAGTGTCCAGGGTAAAAATCCCGAAATTCATAATTATACATGGGTGCCAATTACTGCGGACAAAATGTCCGTAAAATGGCAAATAGAAGTGATTGTATGATGATTATGTTGATTAAAGACTTATTGAGTTGTAGCCTCAATTTGGTCGTCTGAATGAAATGGACTATTATTATGAAGTTGAATTGAAAGATAATGGACTTAACTCATGAATTGAGAAGTATACATGAATTGAAAGATAATGGACTTAACTCATGAATTGAGAAGTATAGAGAAACTGGAAAGGAATTGAAGGAAAATGGATTAAGGTTTGAACTTAGTATCATATGAATATGCAAATTGGTGGATGTTTTAGTACCAGCATTGTTTATGCATATGGTACTTATATCTTTGCTAAACCTCATATATTGTGTTAGATTATTTCTATTGGGTTGTGGCTCACCCTATATGGGAATACCATTTTCAGGCGCAGGTGATATGCTTCCGTCAAGGCAATACAGTGGAGGGACTTTTGGGAAGCAAGAGCTTCTTTATTGTGTTTTATTATATGTATAGCCAAGAGCTTTATTGTAATGAGCCGTGCTCACTTTTGTATAACCAAGTAATGACTTGGAAAGATGTAAGCCTACAAGGCATTTAACTATATGTTAAACTTTTATAAACAAACTCCAATGAATGAAAGTATTTTATTTCTGTTATATCTTCCCCATAACAGTTGGATTTATATTATTATTTTGGGGGTGTTACAAACGCTTTCTGGAATACTTCTTAAGTTTTTACAATTTCTCAGACTAATAAAACCAAGGTTGGTAAGATGTCTAACTGAAGGTGGAAGTTCACTGATACCAGTCCCATCTAAATGAAGCTTTGATAAACATCTCATATATCCCATGCTGACTAAAATGTTGACAGGCTTTGAGCACCCAGAGACAATAAAAACTTCAAGATATTCCAATTGAATGCCACATGGAAGACTCTTGAGATTTTTGTAGTCCTTCAAATTCAAACAAATAAGCCTTTTGACAACTACAATGGATGGATGAAGATTAACCAAACCTGTACAACCTTCAAGAATCAATCTTTCAAGATTTGGGACCCCTTTGAAGTCTGGGCTCTTCGTTAGGTATGTCGAGTGACTAAGATTCATGATTCTTAACTTGTCTAAATGCTGTTGAACAAAAATAAAAATAAAAATTACGAAAATTATATTGTGTCAAGGACTTTGTACCTTATTCAAAGTAATTAAAAAAAATGCATATCCATACCATTGTTCCCTCCCAAAGTTGTTCAATGTCGCTATAGGTTAAGTGAAGTTTAACAAGATGCTTTGGTTGAAATGTTGAAGGCATGTATTTCATAGGGTAAACTAACCAATCAAGATATCTTAACTAGTTAGAAAGATATTTGAGGTCTTCTGAGAGGTGCATACTACAAATTTTGAGAATCCTCAAGTTCGACATCTTTGCAAAAGCTTTAGGCCTCAACTTCAATTGTTTTAGAAACCGAAAGTCCTTTGAATCTAGACCACTTGGGTCAGGATATTGTACAACTATGCCTTCCACTTTTTTTATTCCCTAACAACCACAAGAAAACAAGAAGGAAATAATATTAAAAGGCTGAAAAATCATGCAGAGCTAGCTTTTATTAATTAAACAAGTTTTGAGTGTTCATGCTTTTTCTATAAGACCTCTTTCCGTATTGTCCATCAGTACATGTTTTATATCTTCATCACGCCATAACCTAGAACGCTTTCCAAGCTCTTTAGGTGATTACTGGAAAACAATATACCACCCTAGTTCTTGTATCAAATCATGCATCAACAGCTTATTTCCAGAGATAGTTATAAGAGAATTTTTAATAAGAACATATATTCCAATAATTGAGTGGAAGCCACGACTTTCTAGATTTTGGTTATATCATTTTTGTCCATCTCTTTGAAAAAACACGCAATATCTAAGAATATTTAATGCTCTTGCCAATCAAATGCATCATAACTTATTCTAAGTACTTCCTGAACTTCCTTCATAGGGCTTTCTTTTACTCTTTTTAATGAACTTTCCCATTCTTTTTAATGAACCTTCCCATTCATCTTTGTTTCGACCACAAAGAAAAGAACCTAAAACTTTGAGAGCTAAAGGAACTCCTTTAGTATACTTTACCTAAGATGTACAAGCTCTCCATAGCCTCCCATTTGCTGGTGTTTTTGGAAGGCTTTCAATTCGAAGAGTTCTGCAGCTTCATCTTCTCTTAATTCCTCAACCTTATAAATATGTGTTATGCCATATCTAGTTAAAGCATGTTGATTTCGAGTTGTTATAATGATTCTACTTCCAAAACCAAACCAATCGTGCTCTCCTACCAATTTTTTGAGTTTGGTTGATTCATCCACATCATCAAGCACAATAAGAACTTTTTTACGACAGTCCATGTTCCTTATCATATGTACTGCACGACCATCACTTCCTACTTTCAAATCCTTTTCCATTAAGATTTCAGAAATGAGTTGTTCTTGCAGAGTTTTTAAACCACATTTTTTTGAAACTTCTCTAACATTCTCAATAAAGCTGTAACCTTCAAATTGCAAGAGATACAATCATAAACAGCTCTGGAAATAGTAGTCTTACCTATTCCACCCGTTCCCCAAATCCCTACAACACGAGCATCATCCACCCCTAAACCTAGCAATTTAATCGCTTTCTCCATACGAGAATCCATCCCAACTAAATCTTCGCCAATGCCAGAATATGTATGACTTAATTTTCTAAAAAGCAACCCGACAACTTCTTGGATGAACATTGATTCAGACCTCCAAATTTAGGGGAATAGTAATAAATTTATTCATCAGAACTCAAAAGCTTTGTAAGAAGGAAAAATGTCATTAGTTTGGTCAAATATGATTGATTTTACTCATTGCAATTGAAATCTATATATTATATAAAGAAAGGGTGTTTTTAGTGAGAAATCTTGTGAGAGCTTCAATATCTCATACTAATTTTCTTTATTTTAGACAATTAAAAAAATCTCCATTGGTTAGATTTTATTAAACCACATAAAAATCTAACTCTAATTAGTTTATGATTTATTTGACAATTCCACATCAAGAAAAGAAGGAAAAAGTGAAATTTTTTACTCATATAAAGCGAATCTTATACTCCCATTTAATATTGTAGTGCTGTGCATGTTTCAATTCAATATAGTTTAAATTTTAAAATAAATTTAAAAAATTTAATTAATTAATTTTTTTGTAAGTTGGTTGGTCTTTTGACCTAGCCAATTAGGCTGCATCATTTTTGTTTGAATGATTCGCTAGTTAAACCATAATTTTAGCGGTTTTATCAAAATATATTGGTTAGATTTGTTTGATTCAAAATAAATTAAAGATTGACCTAATTAAATATTAAACGGCCGAGATTGGTTGATTAGAAATAAATTTTTCGCCCAAACAATTGTTAACTTTTATTTTACACAATCCCACATTGGAAAAAAGAAGGAAAAAGTAAGTTTTTTCACTTATCTATATATTATATAAGGAAAATGTGTTTTTTGGGAGAAGTTTTCTAGGAGTTCCAAACCCTCATTCTAAAATTATTGAATTTTTTAATTTCAAACAATTAAGAAAATTCTCATTGGCTAGCTTCCATTTACCTTTTATTTTACTATCTCACATCAAGAAAAAAAGAAAAAAGTGATTTGTTTCATTTACATAACGCGAATCTGATGCTCCCATTTATATAAATTATTGAATTTTCATAATTTTAAACAATTAAATACAACAAATTTGGGATTTAAAGACAAAACAAATTTGTCCCAAAATGTATATATTTTGTCACTCAAACTAATTACGATGAAAATTTTTCGTCACCCGTTTTGTCGCCAAAGCATCGTCGCTAAAGGGTCTTAGAGACGAAATGACAAATTCGTCATTGAAAATGATAAATTCGTGACGAATTTTTTTGTCTCCAATACACTCTGTTGGGTACATACTTGTAAGTAATTAGCGACAAAATATTTTGTCATTAAAGGAAGAAATTAGAGACAAAAATATTTTGTCATAAATATAAGAAATAGAGGCACAATAATTTTGTCACGTTTAATATAAACGAAGACGAAAAAATTTTGTCAAAGAAGCTACCAATAGAGACAAAAACAAATTCATCATTAAAAATGATAAATTTGTGATGAATTTTTTTGTCTCCAATACACTCTGTTGGGTACATACTTATAAGTAATTAGCGACAAAATATTTTGTCATTAAAGAAAGAAATTAGAGATGAAAGTATTTTGTCATAGATATAAGAAATAGAGACGATATAATTTGTCATGTTTAATATAAATGAAGACGAAAAATTTTTGTCAAAGAAACTACCAATAGAGACAAACAAATTCATCATTAAAAATGATGAAATAATGTCAAAAAAAAATCGTCACACGTTAAGGGTAATAGTGACAAAATGTGACAATATTTTTCGTCATGACAAATTCATTTAGCGACGAAATAAAGAATTCA